AGTGAGAAGGAGATGTGTGAAAGCTTGCCGTGCGGGGTTCAAAAACCACCGTGGAGGATCGTGCTCGAAGTCCACCGCCTCTGTTCAGTTGGGAGGAGAACGTAGGGGGTGGGGGTAACGGGGCGGTGAGAAGGAGACAGAGAGACAAGGGGTGATTGTGGTATGAGAGGATGAAAAAAGAGAGAGTAAAAGGAGGAACAAAGACAAGAAGGAGAGACACACAAGGAAGCTATCATTGAGGAAGACCGGAGGCTGGTCTAGACAACCTAGACTACCACAGAAGGAGCACAGCAAATCGACGGCAACACGTAATGCCAAGGAACATTTGCCCGGACGACAAAGAAACGACGACGAGTTATAAGACACGCTCGCGCAGAGACCCGCCATCCAGATACCGCAGAGAAGAGACAGAGCAGACGAGAGCAAGAGCAAAGGCAAGAGAGAGAGAGGAGAGAAAGGAGATCGAGAGAGAGAGAGAGAGCGAAGGAGGCGAAGGCGAGAGAATGAGAAAAGAGAGAAAGAAGCGAGTCGCAAGACGGGAAGAGCAGAGACGAAGAAGCGCGCGAGACAGAAGAGAAAGGAGGGACGAGAGAGAGAAGAGAGCGCGAGAGTCGAGCGAAGGAGCTCGCGCCGCAGCGCAAGAGCGATAGGAGCGCGACGCGCAGAGAACGGCGCGCGCACGAGAGATAGCGAGAGCAGAGAAGCAAGAGACTCCGATGCGCGGCGCGAGCCGACAGAGAAGAGCGCGCTGGCGCTCACGAACGCGAGCTCCACTAGAGATCGCGAGCGCAGACCTCTCCTCCCTCTCTCTCCCTCTCTCTCCCTCTCTCTCCCTCTCTCGCTCTCTCTCTATCTTCCCTTCCCTATCCTGTTCTCCCTATCCCTATCCCCTCACCCTCTCCCCCTCACCCTTTCCCTATTCCCTATCCCTCACCTCTCCCCCTCTCCCTAATCCCTCTCCCCTCTCCCTCTCCCTCTCCCCTAGTCCTCTCCCTCTTCCTCTCCTCTTCCTCTCCTCTTCCTCTCCCCTTCCCTCTCCCCTTCCCTCTCCCTCACCCTCACCCTCTCCCTCACCCTCACCCTCCCCCTCACCCTCTCCCCTTCCCTCTCCCTCTCCCCCTCCCTTCTCCCTCTCCCCTTCCCTCTCCCTCTTCCCTCTCCCCTTCCCTCTCCCTCTCCCCTTCCCTCTCCCTCTCCCCTTCCCTCTCCCTCTCTCCTTCCCTCTCCCCTTCCCTCTCCCTCTCTCCTTCCCTCTCTCCTTCCCTCTCCCCTTCCCTCTCCCTCTCCCTCTCCCTCTCCCCTCTCCCTCTCTTCGGCCATTCATCGCTCCTTTGTCCGGACTCGGCGCCATGACACGGTTATCTCGCGCCAAACAATTTTCGTCCGTGGATTTTCATTTTTACTTATTTTTACTTGATTTTTTTTGTTCTTATCGCCAACCCTTGAGCGAAAGACTAACGAAATTGGGAAAGACTTTATTTATTGGTTCAATTTATTATTCTATCTACATCATTATTCATTCATTTCCTTGACTTTGGTGTAAGTGGCTGAGTAAGTCATTAGGTTAAGGAAGGAGGGAGGGAGGGAGGGAGGGAGGGGGGGAGGGAAGGAAGGAAGGGAGGGAGGGAGGGAGAGAGTAATTGAGGGAAGGATGGAAGGCGAGAGAGAAGGAGGGAGGGAAGGAAGGGAGGAAGGGAGGAAGGAAGGAGGGAAAGAGCAATAGAGAGGAGAGAGGAGAGTAGGAAAGGAGGGAGAGAGGGAGGGAGGGGAGGAAGGAAAGTGAGAGAGAAAAGAGAAAGAGAGAAAGAGAAAAAGAGAAAGAGAAAGAGAAAGAGAAAGAGAAAGAGAAAGAGAAAGAGAGAGAGAGAGAGAGAGAGAGAGAGAGAGAGAGAGAGAGAGAGAAGGGGGAGAAGGGGAGAAGGGGGAGAAGGGGGAGAAGGGGGAGAAGGGGGAGAAGGGGGAGAAGGGGGAGAAGAGGGAGAAGAGGGAGAAGGAGGGAGAGTGAAAAAATGGGATAGGGATAGGGTAGAGAGTGGAAGAGGAGGGAGGGAGGGAGGAAAAGTCAAGCTGAGAGAAGAAACAGAGAGGGAGAGGAGGAGAGTGGAAGAAACAAACTGAGAGAAATAAAGACGGAGGAGGAAAGGAAAGGAGGAAGAGAGGGAGAAATGAAGACAAACTGAGAAAAGAGAGAGGGAAGGAGAGAAGAAGGGAAGGAGAGAGGAAGGGAGGGATGGAGGGAGGGAAAAATAGAGATAGAGAGGGATAAGGGTGGAATTAACAAACTGTGAGGAAAAAAGAGACAAACAGACACGCACACGGGAACACAGAAAATGCAGGTAGGTGAGAAAGAGCCATTGATCACAAGAGATAAGGGAAAAGAAGAAAAAAGATTGGAAGAAAAGGAGACAGAGAGAAAACAAAACAAAAAAGAGAGGATGAAGAGGAGGACGACAGAAGTAGCGAAAGCAACAGTATTCAGCGGCAGGGTGCGCGTCCTCACCTGTCCGATGGGTTCCTTGAGTTTGTACTGGTTGAGCTGGATGTATTCCCCGTTCTTCTCGATGCTGACGCGGCGCGACTCCTTGAGGGGGCGGCGCCGCAGCCGGGGGGAGGAGCAGGGGGAGCCGTAGGGCGAGAAGGGCACGTTGGGGTAGATGGGGCGCTCGCCCATGTTGACGCTCTTCGACTGAATGAGCCGCGCGATGTGCGTGCCCCTACCGGAGGCGGTTCCCCCCGGGCCCCCATGCCCCCCGCCCGTCACGGGCCCGTTTTCGTCAACGGAAGTCGAGCGGATGTTGGCCAGGGAGCCCCGCTCCACCAGCGAATTGACCCGCGACAGCTGGCGGAGTTCCTCGCACACGCTGCGCCCCGGCCGGTGCTCCGTGAAGGACCCGCCCGGAGTCGGGATCTTGAAGGTGGTCGGGAAGGGGTCCTCGGTCTTGATGAGGTCCGGCTCGTCCTTGCTCGGCTTGGGCGCCCCCTCGGCCTGGCTGGGGCCGGAGGAGGAGGAGGCGGGGCTCGCGGGGGCGCCCTTTTGGGCGGCGATGGAGAGCGAGGCGGCGGCGCGGGTCAGGTCCTCCACCTTGCCGCCCGCCTCGCACCTCCCGCCGCCGCGCTCGCACCCCTTCTCGCCGTCGCCGCAGGGATGGCCGTTGATGGAAGGCGCGGCGCATCCGGGGGTCTCGTGGCTCTTACAGGAGGAAGCATTGCCGCAGCCAGCGGGTTTTTCCGGCGCCGCCCGCACCGCCACCACGGCCTGACACCGTCCCGTCACCCGCGTGTCCAAGGGCGCTGCGTGCGTAGTGGTGGTGGTGGTGGACACGTCGTCGGGCGTGCGGGAGTCCTTCCTGAAGTATCCGGTGTCGTGCGTCGCTACCTCGTCCCTGAAGGAAGCCGCAGGATGCTGGGGGTGGCGCTTGAGGGCGGCCACTCCCAGGGCACAGCGCCCCCCGCCATCACCATCCTCCTCGATGGCGGAGTGTCTGAAACGGAAAAAGAACACTAAGGAAACAGTAACGTTGTCGGGCTCCCCAGCGCCCTGCCGCCGAATCATCTGCTCAGAAAATAACATCACTCTGGGCCCAGGACCAAAAACTCCCCAGAAAAAGGGATTTAACAGCATAAAAGCCATACAGCTACAAACAGCTTCACCGTGTGAGAACAGTTCGCAAACCAGAACATTAATAACAAAGAAACAAAGCAGAGGCTACCTTAAAAAAGAAAAAGTAAAATGTCGCAAATTGGACGGCAATTAAATTTTTATAATCGGATAAAGCGCCTCTCTCTGTCACGTTTTATAAAAGTTTGTTTAAAAATCACGTTAAATTACCCATTTACAAGTCATGAGGCGCGCAATCTCTATTCTCGCTCGCTGAAGTGTGACGTCAGAGGCGAAAACTCGAGAGGGGACAAGAAGGATATCAGTGTGTTTCAAGTTTAGTCTTGAAACTCTGCTTCGCGAAAATGCATCTTAATTTCACGGCAACGCATTAGGTGGTATAAATAATATTAATAAAGTGGAAAAAAATAGTTACATTCAGTATTAATCCCGTGGGGAAATTAATTATATATATGACACAAACTGAAGGGCTGATAATGTAGATTTTTTTTTTATATTCATCATTCTTCATCCTTTGGAAAATTTAATTATATATTCAACACTGAAAGACTGAAGTGCTGTGCTAATGGGATTAATCGCCATGTCTTGCGTTTCCGTGATTAGCGAAAGAATAAACCTTTTTTTTCTATATTAACAACAGACGCAAGGGAAGCAACTTTTGAAACTCGCTAATCTTTTTTGGTTGGTTTGTTTTTAACGTCATTAACGCTTTAACAAAACATATACGTTTTGGCATTCTACTAAATAACATTGCAGTATTATTCTTTTAATTACATGCCCTTCTGTCTCTCTCCACCCATCTCTCTGCCTCTCTCTCCATCCATTTGCAATACAATCCTAAACAAAATACCATTAAAAAAATTGAATATATAAGGCTTCCTTCCAGAATTTACACACATCCACCTTTTTTTAACAAATAACAGCAAAAAAAAGGAAAAGGAAACCAAAATATAAATGAACAAAGAGACAAACAAGCGAGCAACAAATATTTTTTTTTTTTTTAAATCGACTGTAAACATAATTCGCAGAAGCAACGACAGGGACAGGCAGCGGCGGCGGTGTCACGTGACCGATGCGTCAACGGATACTGGGTCACGTGACGCATGACGCCCTAACCCCCCTTTTCATCACCCCTCCCCCCTAGTCTTCTACTCTGCCCTCTCCCCCTTCCCTTCCCCCTACCCACTCCCTCTCCCCCTTCCCTTTCCCCCCTGTCCTTTTCCTCTCCCCCTTTTTCTTTCCCCTACCCTCTCCCTCTCCCCCTTCCCTTCCCCCTCTGTCCTTTTCCTCTCCCCCTTTCTCTTTCCCTCTGTCCTCTCCCTCTACCCCCCCTTCCCTTCCCCCCTACCCTCTCCCTTTCCTACCTACCCTCTCCCTCTACCCCCTTCCCTCTCTCTCTCCCCATTTTCCTTTCCCCCTGTCCTCTCTCTCTCTACCCTCCCTTGTCTCCCCCCTCCCCTCCCCCCCTGCTTTCTCCCCTTTCTTCAGTACAACTAGCACTCCCTTCCACCCCTGTTATCTCTCCCCTAGCTTCTGCTCTCCCCCCCTCCCCATCGCCACTGCCGTCTCATCCCTCCCCCCTCCCCTTTTCCTCTATCCTCTCCTCTCTTCCCTCCTTGTCTTCTCTGCCTCCTCTTTCCCTCTTTCCCTCTCCCTCCCTCTCCTCCCCCCCCTCCCCGTGCCCAACCTGGTCACATGTTGCACACTATCCAAGAGTCACACATGGTGAGACAGAGGGGAGGGGGGGAGGGTGGAGGAAGACGGGGGAAGGGGGGGTTAGTGGTAGGGGGGAGGGAGGGTTAGCTACAAAGCTGAGAGTCTCAAACTTGTTGCTTATGAGTTTACGCGTTTGTGCTTGAGTTTGCTTGCTTGCGTGTGCTTGAGTGTTTGCTTGCGTGTGCTTGAGAATTTGTTTGTTTGTGGATATGTTTATGTGTGTGTGTGCGCGTGTGCGTGCGTGCGTGCGTGCGTGTGTGCGTGTGTGTGTGTGTGTGTGTGTGTGTGTGTGTGTGTGTGTGTGTGTGTGTGTGTGTGTGTGTGTGTGTGTGCGTGCGTGTGCGTGCGTGTGCGTGCGTATGTGTGCGTGCGTGTGCGTATGTGTGCGTGCGTGTGCGTGTGCGTGTGCGTGTGTGTGTGTGTGTGTGCGTATGCGTGTATGTGTGTGTGTGCGCGTGTGCGTGCGTGCGTCCGTGCACGAATATATGCGTGTGTTTATGTGTATGCGTTTATGTGTGCTTGTTTATGTATGTGCGCGCATGTATGCGTACCGTGCGCACATATACGAGAGCGCCTGTGAATAAAGGAGGGAAAGGAGGAAAAGATAGCGCCATGATCATGTAAATGTTACGGATATCGGCACGCACGTGTGAGAGCGCCGCCCTTTGTTTTCAAGCGTGGCAACAAAAGCGTAAATGCGTGACGTCAAAATCCATTGTTCTGACGCTGCGTAACCAATAACAACGCGGCAATGATGATGATATAATCAGCAAATCAAGACACACATGTATACAAGTATATGCACGCGCGCGCACATGCACGCACACGCACATACACAAAAAGAAAAAATAAACTCGAAAGCTGGAGAAGGAAAAGGAGGAGAAAAAAGAGTATAGAGACAAGAAAAAAGGAAATAAGTAGAAAGAAAGAACGAGACTGTAGGAAACAATGCAATAAAAATATATACACAGACGACAAAAGCAAAAAAGAGCAAAGAAACATGCAAATACCCAATTAAGAATGACTAAGAAGAAGACAAAGAAGAAGAAAAAAAAGCAAAAAAAAAAAAAAAAAAAAAAAACAAAAAAAAAAACACACACAAACAGAAAAAAAACGAAGAAGAATAAAAGAAAGGAATATTGCAACTTGCAACGAGAGCCACAGGAGAGAGAGACCGTGCAAATGATTCAGGAGACACGACCGCCGGGGAGGGACTGCGGAGACGGCGCGCGGTCAGCCGATGTCCCCATGCATGATGCCTCCCTTCCTCACGTGCGCTTTCCGCTTGTCTTTTATTCATGTCTTTTAAAGGTTAGATCTATGGTGTTTTTTTTTGTTGGTGGTGGTGGTGATGATGGTAGTAATTGATGATGATTGATGATGATGACTGATATTGATGGTGATGGTGATGATGATGATTATGGGATAATGAGGTAAATGAGAATGAAATACTAAGAATGAGATAACTTTAATGGTAATGATAGTAGTAGTAATGTTATCCTTATATAGACATTTTTGTTATCAGTAGTATCAAGAGGAATGTCATTATTATGGTTAATACTAGTGTAGTACGTCTTAGCTGGTGAGCTTATATTTCAATTTATCTTTTTGTTCCATCTCCCCATTTCCTCTCTCTCTCTCTCTCTCTCTCTCTCTCTCTCTCTCTCTCTCTCTCTCTCTCTCTCTCTCTCTCTCTCTCTCTCTCTCTCACGCTCATTCTCATTCCCATTCCCACTCCCACCCCTACACCTTTTACCCCTCCCCCTTCCTTCTCCTCCCTAACCCTCTTCTCCCTTTTCCTCCTCACTCCCTCTCCCCCCTCTCCCCAATCTCCACCCGCACTCATTTCGCTCCCATTTTCTCCTTATGTACATTCGGGTTTTTCTCCTCTCTTTCTCTCTCTTCTTTTGTTTCACTTCGCAAGTTCCGACGCTTTCACAACGTCCGCCGCCCCGCCAGCCCGGTTTCCTCTTGGGCAACGCCGTTATTCTTGGCTCCTGTGTTTATCCAGCCGGGCCTTGTTCATTTTTACGTATGCGCCTTTTTTTCTTATTGTTTGGCTCTTTTCTCTCTCTCTCTCTCTCTCTCTCTCTCTCTCTCTCTCTCTCTCTCTCTCTCTCTCTCTCTCTCTCTCTCTCTCTCTCTCTCCCTCTCTCTCTCTCTTTTCTTCCTTTTTTTAATCAGCGTTGCGGTTCTTTTGTTTGCGGGACCATATCACATTTGGCCCGCAAGGACAGCGAGCCCTTCTCGGAAAAAACTGGGAATTCGCCTCCATTTCGGCCGCAACAATTTCTTTTTTCTTTTCCTTTTTCTATTATTTTCTTTTTTTTCTGGTTCATTCTGATTTCCGAGGGGAGTGGGCGGACTTGTGTAAAGGGGGAGGGGGAGGGGAGGGGAGGGAGGGAGAGGGAGGGAGGGAGGGAGAGAGGAGAGAGGGAGAGAGGAGAGAGAGAGAGAGAGAGAGAGAGAGAGAGAGAGGAGAGAGAGAGAGAGAGAGAGAGAGAGGAGAGAGAGAGAGAGAGAGAGGAGAGAGAGAGAGAGAGAGAGAGAGCGAGCGAGCGAGAGATGGCATTGGTATTCCCGACTCTTTCCTGCAGCTAACTAGGAGTCGCAGAAAAACTAGGAGATAATTGCTATGGATTCTGCACGGCAACACGGCCATCCAATCAGACCCTCCTAATGGCCGCCAATCAGATCACGGCACCGATAATCTAGGCCGTAATAAAGCAAAGCGCCTCAGAATACGGGCGGACACGTGGGGATTCCTCCGGCGAGTTGCTTCGTCAGGAGGGGATCTTACGAATGGGTTGTTTCGTGCGGATGGAAAGTGGTATTGATGGTTTCGTTGAGATAGATTTTACAAACTGGTTGTTTCGCCGTTTCGTACATATATTACAAATTGGTTGTTTCGCTGTTTCGTTGAGATAAATATCACAAACTGGTTGTTTCGTTGAGACAAATGTTACAAACTGGTTGTCTCGCTGTTTCGTACATATAAATAATACTGGTAATTTTGTAAGTGTAAATATCACGGTCCGGTTGCGTCATACAGACAAATAATAATGCAAAAAATATATAAAATGGGTGTTATGAACAGATAATAAAATTACTACTGGGTTGTTTCATTCATATAAACACTGCATTACT